CCCCCCAGCCTCATCCCCGCCCTCACCCTCTGCTGTTCCCAACGACCCCCAGTCTCCCAAGCAGCAAAAGGAGCCCCTCTCCCACCGCCTCAACGACTTCATGAACTCCAAACCTAAAATGCACTGCCTCCGGAGCCTGAGGCGAGGGGTAAGTGTGTGTGTGTGTCCGGCAAGCTTTGTGCATGCATGTGTATCCTCCAACTGTATCTGAGCTCTGAACCTGCTACACTGTATGGATGTAGTCAAATAAAGGCATAAATAAAAGTATAAAAAACATCCTCTAGATTTGAAGGCCATAAATGCCTAACATCAGAAAGCAGGGGATAAAACTCTATTAGGAGTTACTGAATATATACAAATGTTGTCATTGTGACCTCAATTTGAAAACAATACTTACATAGGCCTATTATAACTTTATTTTAGAAACATTTGATACACATTAGGCCTTTCAACTTCGCCCATACAGTGCTCAGCCTATTTGCTTCTTTAGCATGCTTCTGTAGTGCATAACTATGAATCCACAGTTCCTGTCTCTCCTTCTTGTCCCTCTTCATATTAACTCACATCAGTCCCCCTCTCACCCCCCTCCCCCCTCTGACAGATGTAAGCGAGACACCTAAAGCAGTGTTGGCAGTAGCATGGAGACTGCAGTAGCTCCCTGCGCACTTCCCTGCAATCTATGCTGGAGGCAGATTGTCGTTCTTTTTGCACGTGATGTAAGGAGTAGAATGGAAAGACGAGGGTTAAAGGGACAGTTCTCCCTAAATTGAAATATATGTATTTTTCCTTCTTACCTGTAGTGCTATATCTCATCACAGATTGTTTGAGTGTGAGTTGCTGAGTGTTATTGGAGAGGTTGGGACATATACCTATCTGCCTTCTCTCTAATATAATGGAACTAGATGGTGAGCCCAACAATACATTTGAAACTCAACAGAAATGTCTCTTTCCAGAAAAAGTGACCTGGTTAGTCGAGATAATCCACATACCTTGTTTTGAGCACCTTCATGTAATGTAGGAACAACACCCACTCACAAGCGCACACTAGGCTATATAAGTAAGTAGAAAATAAGTAGATGCAGGTATAGTTTGGTAGAAAGAAAATAGTTCCTGCAGGGAACTTCTGACAACAAGGTTTGAGGATTATCTTGAGTAACCGGATTATGATTATTGAAAAAAATACATTGTTGTTACGTTTTTACAATTCATAGTTTGGCTGCTTTTAGCACTATACCAATATATCCAACACTCTGCAGCTACACTAAACACATCTACATTGATAAATAGCACTAGGGATAAAGGGAAAATACATATTTTACATTTTAGGGTTGACTGTCCCTTTAAGGCTCACACTATGAACAAAGTGATGGTTAGTGGGAATGGCAGCAGGCTGACTGAGTCACCCACCCCACAAGGAGTGAGAAGGCCGGAGTAATTTTAGAAGGCTTCCCGGAGGGTGGCTTTATCGCCCGGTGGGTCCTGGAGGGTGTCAGCACCAGCTCCTGTTGTAAACTCCAGTGTGCGTTTGTAATGGAATTGCTTAGCCTGGGCAGGTCATATCACGCTTTCCCATAACACACTTCACCCCCCAGCTCTCCCTGACCTCAGGAAGGGGCGGCGACTCACGTGTTCCTTCCGGAACGTTCAAATATAGTTTTTGTTTACCCTCATATTCTGAAAGGGCAGCAGTTGCTCAAAGTGAAAACATTTGTATGAATCGGGCTGACATGACGTCTGAAAAGAACAATACGTTTGTGTTAGCATATCGTGGAGGAAATGATTGAAGGTCGGCAGAAAAAAGGGAATTGTGTGTATATTTTCTAGCAGTGCACAGATCTAACAGGAAGTGCACGTTTCTGAAAGCGGAAGTACTGAAACAGCTCTCGAGAAGAGCGATGAAAAGAGTTGAATCAGATGCATTGTTTGTCGACTATGCACAGATTCAAAAGATAAAAGTTTGACCTTACTGTAACATTTCACAGAACAGGAAAAGGCCGAAGGACTTTCTGGTATCGGTGAGAGGTTATATACTGTATCATTAGCCCATTAGAGAGTCAAAGAGTTCAATATAATCTCTACTCTTTCCCATATCTCATGACAAAACATTTATACAAGTCCCCGTTCCATGTGTCATGGCAGTAAGCTTTTTATGTGTTTTCATGTATATAGATGTTGAGTACTTTTATGCAATGTGATATTTTTCTTTTTTGAATACATTTGACCATATGTCAGAGATAACTAAGGCAACAGAAGGTGCATGGTTAATCCAGTGAAATAACAACAAGTCTTTTAGGGACACCGGCCTCACAGACAGACATCTTGGGGTAATGCCTCTGAACAGCTGCTGCTGCTGGAGATATTCAGATCTCTCAACCAGGCCTACATCCATCTGTGAAAGCAAGCTAACTAGGAACACTGTATCTGCAGTACTACAATATTTTATTTAGAGAAGATTAGTCTATTTTTAACAGGGTACCTGCAGCTCTTGCAAAGCCTTATGAAGCTTTTACTCAGTTTTCTCTGCAAATAAATCAGAAGAATATTTTTTAAAGTCTTCATTGTTTATCTTAAATATTAAATATGTTGCCTGCTTCAGTAAGTAAACCTACTTATAATAGTTTTGTGAGCTGTCAGGAGACATTACAGCGCTCATTGTCTCATTGGATATTAAAATAAAAAATACTTTTAAGAAACTTAACATAAAGTTCCTACAATTTTTAATATTTTATAATAGGGAGTTATTCATATTTCCTCCTGGGAATTGAGAAAGTTATATAATAATAAATAATTAATTGCACCTAACTTTTTTTTAATCATACTTACAGTCCTATATTTTGGCCTGTATGGTAGTGAAACAGGCATTACATTGCATTCTTGTGCTATTAAATGGGGCTCAACTTCCTGCCAAAACCCTTTTTTAATAATTGAAAAAGCAAAATGAGATATTAAACCGACTTTTTAATATTTTTTGTGTTTTATGCTGCAGGTAAATCAAGGAAAAAATCGATTGTATTCCTCTCCCACCTCCTGCAGGGGAACATACTGCAGAACCGCATTAGGGGATTAGAGTAGTTGTGCAGGTGGAGGTGGCGTCTCTGTTTACCCCCCCCAGGAGAGCCTTCATGTGGCTGTCTAATCATCCCCAGTATCTGTGTATGTGCGCGTCTATGTGTTCTGTTTGAGAGGAAGAAGAGAAAGCATATCGTTTGTGCTTTGGCAGTTAAATAAGACCGTATACAGTATAAGATCTTTAAGACAATATTGACAAAGCTGTGTTTTCTCCGACGACCACCACAGCAGCAATCCCCCCGCGCGCTCATTTGTCACAAAGAGCTTATGAAGAGGACTCTGGGGCGACCCACATATGCTTTCGAAGCCAGGAAATATGTTGTAAGTGTGTGTAAGATAGGCATCAGTGAGTACCAGCAGTGAGTGTGTGATCCAGGTGGTTGGGAGAAAGTGTGAATGAATATTGAATGTGTGTGATTAGTGGAAGCCATGCACTTTCAGCAGCCTCCTTAAAGGAACATCTTGTATATCCGTTACTCATCTTGTGTTACCTTGAATTCTTGAAGAGAGGTTTATTTTTCTCGCATACCCCCACGGTGAAAGAAGAATCAAAGAAAGGGAATTATTGAGGAATTAAAGCAGATGGGGGCCGCATTCAAAATCAACAAAGTGATGTTATATTTACAAACTCCCACACAACTCGTGCTTAATGTCTACATTTAATTAAAGAGTCCTATTATGCTTGCTAGGGTTTCCCTTTCCTGTAATTAAAAAAAAAAAGGTTTTTGTGCATGTACACGCTCTTTAAAGGCTACAATCCCTGTGTCCCCTCCAGAGGGAGTTTATCTCCCCCCCCTGATTAAAATACCTCCATTGAACTCCTTTGTTTACTTCCGTAAAATAATTACATCACTTTATAAGACTTGCGCTCCTATTGGCTAGCACTCCAACACATTGAACGTGATGGGCAGGACATCTCTAAGCGGTTGACCAATCCCAACAGAGCCGGCCAGCTAACCAATCAGAGCAGACTGGGCTCTGGTTTCAGACAGAGGGTGAAAAGAGGTGCTGCAGCACAGGCAGTATGAGAAAAATAAAAGAGCTTGTTAAAGCATGGAGACATGTCCCAGTAGAGGCACTAAATACAAATACTGTAAGCACCTGACAATGAGCAGAATAATGCCCCTTTAAAATCAACATCAAAATCCAAAAGTTCTCCTTTTTTTAAATTCTTTGTTCAGTTTGAAGGCATGCGAGAAAAACAAAGATTCCTTCACTAATTCAGGGTTACACCTTGTGAGTAAATTATATAAAATAGTCATTTGTTCCTCTATGACACATTCAGTCCTCACAATTTACAAGGCCAACTTTCCCCACAAAGGAAGCTGCTGTTTGTGCCTGGCTCAGTATTGATCACATGGCTCTCAGGCGTGAAAAAAGAGACGAATGATCAGAGAGATGACTTCATCATCACATGGCTCAGCTTGCGGTTTACTTGTTGCTGGCTGTTGTCCTGCGGCTGTTTCAGGCCCCCCCCCCCACTGAGCGTCTGCACGGGGTTCACTCACAAAGTGTCACCAGCACCTAAGGATGTGAGAGATTACAGGCGTGAGGATGCTCTTCCTCCCACCATGTAATCACTCCCTCCTTGCTATTTAAATATCACTGTCAGGTGCATGTGACATAAGGTGAGGTGTTTGTCACACTTTGGATCTGGGATCAGCCTACAGTACCCAGAATTCACCCCTCCAGGGCTTTCTTTGTGCTGGTGTGCCATTCTGCAGCTCTGTTATCTGTGTGTAAGGACCATAGTTGTCCTGTTTATCTGTGTCTGTCTGGGGGTTGGAAAGAGTCCAGGTGGATCTGTGGAGCCACAATATACAGTTTCTGCTGTAAACACTTTTATTATGCGATGTGCTCCTACTTACTGTAAAGTGCAGCTCTCCAGTGATCACATGATTCATCACATGCTCACAGCAGGGTAAGCCCAACTGGGACCAAATATTCACCCTGTATCTGCCCAATTGTTCATTCTTTAAAAACAACTTTTACTATTTGTAAAATGCAAAAAAAAGGCAAAGAAGAAACCGTCTTAAACCAAGTCAAATACTATTCTTATACATCAAAAGTGAGAACTTGGGAACTCTCTTCAATCAAAGAGATGTTTGTAAGTTGTTAGAAACACAGAACAATACATTAGAAGCCATCATTTCTCATATACACAGGTTAATAAGAATATGATCCACATCTGATCAAATAAAAACAGAAACAAGACCCAAACTAGATCCTTCCCCAGAGTTTATGAATATGTCGTCTGCCCCCTCAGTGATATCATGATATACTTCTGATTTGAATATGATTTAATATTATGTAAAGCGAGTCTCTCACAAAAACCTACTTACTTTACAAAATGTTCTTTCATACAGACCTTTGGTCAGCCTAAGTTGCATTTCAATGTGATCCCATAATAAACGTAACTTAGTCACTAACTTAGTGAGGAGATAACAGTAATGTAGCAGCGTGGAGGTTGGAGTCAGGATTAGAGGTGTCATAGTAAAGACCGTAACACTCCAGTTCAGGTGGATGAGATGATTAGTGGAGTAAAGTGTGTGGAGCGGCTCAGTGCAGCAGCCTGTGAGCCTCTAACAGGATTACAGGTCATCTGCTGCAGCTCTACAGCCAGGGGGGCTCCACTCTGCTCTGTGCTCAAACATTACTCAGCAGAAAAATACACCTTTACAACCATTTATTGTGTTGTTTGTAACATACTTACCATTTTGTTTTCATGGGAAATTCATGTGCAATATACAAAAACCTGGATATGTGCAGATTTCTTCCTCATAACAGGCGATAGTTTCCCCAGCTTGTGTGTGTTGGGTATCTGCCTCCATGTCAACGTCTGGATCAGCTGATGTGTTTATGCTTGTGGCGCCCTCTGCTGTCAGCGTACTGGCAGCAGAGAGATGAAGAAATAAAGTGTTCATCCGCCCCTGTCGAGTCACCATCCCTCTACTTCTTTCTTTACATTTATATTCATCTGTCTTCCTTCATGTTTACCCTCATAACTTCATGCTTGTGCAGTAGGTTGGCACTTTTTAGCCGACGTGTTTCTCATTTTTCATTAATCCATCATATCAGAAATGTTAAACTTCACCCACATTGGAAAAGAGTGGTGGGTTTATAGCAGAAACTGTGTGTTTTACACAGATAGCCTATAAACCCAAAGTACTACCACCTCTTTTCTTTCAATGGTGAAGTTTGGCAAATCATCATTATAAAATACAATTAAAGTATTTTTATTTAAAGGAAAATGGGAAAAAATGGCCGTGAATATTCATCTGATGTTGACTGTTGTTTCTTTCTCTCTCCTGCTCCTCGCCATTTTTTCTCTCCTCTCCCCCCATGAAGCTTTCTCTCAAGCTGGTAAGCATGACCGTATAACCTCACGTCCGTAGCGGCATGACCATAGCACGCATGTCACCTCCTCCCAGTAACACACTGTTAATATCGTTGTGTTCGCCATAACGTTTTTGTTCTCCTTTTTTTTTAATCATTTTTGTATTTAAGTTAATATTTATTTTGCTGTGACTCAACAATGGACCTCAGACTCATGTCCTTGTCTCATTTGTGTGTTGTTTTGTTTGTTTTTGTGTTGTGGTTGTGTTCATGTCTCTCCCAAACTGTGTCTGTGGTCTCTGTGGTGCAGATCACACTCAATTCCCACGTCCGGAATCTCATTGAGGTGATCAGATTTACTCTATGTTTGACCTCTCTACCTGTCCGTCTCTTAGTCCGTCTGGTAGTCCTCCCTCCATGTCTCGACAGATCGTATGTCCTCGTAACAAACATTAACTCGTTCTATGTAGTGTCTCACTCACGTCCTTACACTGCATGCTGATGTCTTTTAAAGAATGCTGTTCTGTGAAGCTCACATAATGTACTAGAATTGTATGATGGCAGGCCTCCACAGAAAATCAACAATTACTCTATATTTTCCTTTGAAAAAGACGCACTTTGATTATTAAAGGAATAACTTCACATTTTAGAATCCAAACATATTCATTTTCTTGCAAAGACTTAAATAAATAGGCCAAATATCTCCCTCATATCTGTGCACTAAACATAAAGCGACAGCCAGCAGATGATTAGTTTAGCATCAAGAATGGAAACGGGGGGGAACAGCTAACCCGTCTCACTCAAAGATATAAGAATGTGTCTAGCAGAATCTGTAAAATTAAAAGAAAAAAGTAGGTTCCAAATCATTCCTACTTCTTTCTGTGTCGCCTTATTCAGCAAAGATACTATGTTCACAAGAATTGGACTTCCTGATACAGAACAGTAAAGTAATACAGTTAAAAGGTTAAGAAAAAGTAAGTACTACTAAAGAATCAGGAGCTCTTAAACATCTTGGGTGTTTCTCAATCTCGAGTACGCTTGCTTGGTAGCACATCTCTCGTCTTCCGAGTCACTTGCTTCAGAAGCCAGGCAAGAATACTTCCTGGCATTCGGAAAACGAAGAGTGGAACAGGCTAACAAGTGTGCAGGTGTGCGTCATATGAGAGGCCCCGCCTTACATTTTCCGCCACAGATTTGGGGAAATTGGTCCGTGTGCAAAGCATTGTGGGGATTTTAAGAACGCGGAGTCTACACATGTGCAGCCTCTAAATGTCTCGCTTCGAAGTGCGCCGGGCTCGGTAGAATTCCAAGTATGCTGGACATTGGAACAGTCCTTCGGCGGCACTCGATGACGTAGTATGCTTGAAATTGTGGCTCTGGAGCAGCCTTCCTCGACATTGAGAAACACCCCTTGTCTACCAACTACAATTTATTTATTAGAACAAATGCACATACCCTAATAAATCTGCTACTATATGAGCTGAGCAATTTGTGCAACATTAAGCAATATTTTTAGCATATTTAGTATTCTCAAATGTCCTACAATGCCAAACAGTACAACTAGCATAACTTAGCATATGTATGCTAGCTATGCTAAGTTTCATATGTTCATATATGGGTATTTAGTGTACAACATGAGTGTATCACTGCAATAAAGCAAATAAGCATATACATGTAAAACCAAGCTGATTGTTGAAGAAATTGGGCCCCATAATGATTTTTATATCAAAAAATTCTCTACCTAATGTGTTTTATAAATCCATACATGATTCTGTATGGGCAAATCATTGAGTAAATTGTGATCCATCCCATATTCATCATACTAGAATCAACACATGACCTGATAGTCATGTCTGCCCATAGTTGTAGTTCATGTTTCCTAGATGATAGTGTTTGGAGTGTCTTGCAGTACATAGAGAATGTGAACACTAATATATCTGACTGCTGTACTGTAGCTCATCCCAGAGATGAGCATGTCTCTGCATGATGACTGACACCATCTCTGTTATGTTGCATGCCTCGTGGTGTGTGCTGATGCAGGGAGAAGGGGTAAGGTTGCCATGGTAGCCTAGCTGCATGTGTTGTTGACCTGACTGCAGTTTAGTCTGTAGCTCCAGCTGTTATATGTCCTTGTAGTGGTCCCACTGTAACCCGTATCAATAAGACCTATTAGTCAATGTAAGTTTCCCTTCATAGATAGGACCAAAGCAACAGTGCAAAATTATCACAATGTTCTTCCTTTTTGATACATTTAAAAAAGAAATCATATGGAGAGTTATATGTTTCAATTGATCAAAAGTACTTGATATTTCATAATATCTTAATATGAGACAAATAATAAAAACAAAGCTCTTTGGTGATAGTCAAAATAATTAACTTTTGTATGCAGTGACTTACAGGCAGTGTAGTTCAAAGTGCTTTACAACACAGTGAAGAAGAATACATGTATAAAGACAGGCTGCAGATGCAATACAAAACCAAACACTCAAATGAACAACAAATATAAAATATGTAATAGAATATGTAAGACTAACAATAAAACAAATGAAGGCATGATAAAAAATACATTTAGAATAAAAGTGGTGATAAGGTAAAGAAAATATATTCTACATGAAACTGTCTGTATGTTATCGACTAAAGATTTCTAACTAAAGATCACTACCTGGAAAAACATATCTGTAAAATCCCTGCTAAAATATAAGGGGAAATGTCCCCTTTTAATATAATAAAATAAAAGGAAAAGTGAAAAAAGCATGATAAACCACACAAGAATAAAATAATAAAAATAAACTGTTAATGTAAGAAAATAAGATTGAACATATAAAAATATTAGCAGATATTTTATAGAATATTTTAAGTTACCTATTATTTCATATTAATGTATAGATTTGATGTTGACTCCAGACAGGCCAGCTAGCACTTAGTACAGGAAGCTTCCGGAAGATTCACTGATGCATTACGTGTGCTGCCGAGCAGTATGACTCATCAGCTCACTGATACAGACTGGAAATATGACCCAAAGCCAGCCAAAAAACCTCTCACTCACTCAGTCTCAGTCTCAGGAACACACCGTGCTCTCAGAGAATTATCCTGCTCACTCTGAAACACTATATGAGCTAAGATGTAGCTAATACTTTATTACGTTTCAAGGAAGCAGTAGATTAGATGTGGCGGCTGAATAGGTGGGAGGCTTTCTGTCTGCACTCAAACATCCCAACTTTTAGTGAGTGTCATAGAGTTGCTGCAGTATCTCCCACAGATTCATAAAGATAGAAAATAGCAAAGAACTCCATTTGTGTAGCTGTTATCCATTTTAGTCGTGGTTTACAGGAAAGGATAGGGCACCTACTGTACATGTAACTAGATAATACATCCCTATTAAATCAGCAACACAACAACATATTTCTGTCTCCTCAATTCTCTTTTTGTTTCTTTGTTCTTCCTCCCTCTTGTTTATCAGGGTTCTGGACAAGAGGACTTCAGCCACCTGCCGCCAGAACAGAGGAGGAAGAAGCTGCAGGGAAAGATCGACGACCTGAATAAGGACATCCAGAAAGAGATGGACCAGAGGTAGCTTTACGTGTGTTATTAAGACGTTCCCCACCTTGTGGAACCCCATCCCACACACAGACACACCCCTGGATACCCTTTTCCTGATTTTGCATTTTATTTATTAAACTGTCCAAACAACTATAGCAAACTCACATGTATTCATATGATTGTTTAGTGTCCATCACTGTCTATATTGTATTCATAAATACTAATCATACTGTATATACTGTATACTTAATTTTTTTAATTTTTCTATCATATTTATATACTTCCACTGCACTTTACTGCTTCTTTCGCACTTCTGGTTGGATGCTAACTTGGTTGCCTTTGTAGTACTCAACAAAAATGCAATGAAATTAAAAGTGAATATGCAACAAGGACTTGGATTAACTTTGGTTTTCTTCCCAGGGACGCTCTCACTAAGATGAAAGACGTGTATGTGAAGAACCCTCAGATGGGGGACCCGGCCAGCGTTGACCCCCGGCTGTCAGAAATAGGCCAGAACATCGAGAAGTTCCAGTTCGAGGCGCAGAAGTTTGAGGTGCGTTCAGTGCCTGCCTGAGATATTCTCTTCTCTCTGAGTGTTAGTGTTGGCGAAGCTTTCTTGTTTGGTTTATTCACCACAGCAAATAATGAGGAGTTCAAACACACGTCTCGATCTGGGGTTGATCCAATAAAGTCTGCCGCTCGTCCATATTAGGAGAAGATGTGATGCAGCTGGAGCTTCATGTGGGGGGGAGGAGGCCCAGAACAGTGTCCTGCTTTAACCTTAGACATGGGAAAGAGAGTGGAGTGTAAGGCAGTGTTGTTTAAGAATAGGACCGTATCAGAATATTTAGGTTAGTATATAATAAATGTCACAATTCTCTCTCTCTTTCTCAAAAAAAAGATGGTTTACTTTATTCTTCAAATAATCCCAAAAGTCATCAAAATCAACAACAACAACAACAAGCACACTCGTTACCCAATGTCCTTTGTATGTTTTCGTATGTAATGTGGATGTTTTTGTCTTAATTGGCATGTCCTGTCTTGTGAGGCTCTATGTGGCATGTTTTATTAAGATTTAATTAACATGTTATTTTTAATATTGTAATTTATTTTTAGCGTGACAAACATCTGTCCAGGGACAATATATGAGAAATAGCCTGGCGTATTTGCAGCAGTGATTATTAATATGCTCTTTTCCCTTGAATCAGCAAATAAATACAAATTAAAAATATATGAACATTTCCATAAAACTCTCAACATGGCACTAAAACAAGCTGTTCTCACTTTAGCCAAACTTTTATTAAGAAACTAATATTTGTGTTGCATCACAGAGATAACCCACATATCCCTCATATCGTCCTGTGTAAAATAAGGCTACATTACATCATCTAATCCGTACTGTTGCTCCTCCATTGAAAGTTATTGCCATATATATATTGCCTGATTTTAAGATAAAAAATATTTCTACTCAGCTTAAAATATATCTCAAGTTGTCAGGTTTAAAACCTATAATAATAATAATAATAATAATAATAATGACTGTGTGTGTTTCAGGGCTGGTTAGCGGAGGTGGAGGAAAGGATGCCATCTAAGAGCGATTCGAACCGTAGGAGTGGGCTCTATGAGACCCAGAACAACTCCACTCAACTCCTGAGCAACAACTGTGCGCAGGACAGAGAGAGGTATGGTACACCCTGACGAAACATCCATCACTCACATAAAACATCCCAGAGTAGTTACACACCTTTAGAAACGATGTATGTTTTCAAAGTATATTTACTGTGTGTGTGTTGGCCCTTGAGCAGCCCGGATGGCAGCTACACAGAGGAGCAGAACTCAGAGACGCAGGTCAAAGCCACCGTCAACCCCACCGTCAACCCCACCGTCAACCCCCCCGTCAACCCCTCCGCCAACCCCGCCCTCCCCACCTCCTCCACGCCGGAGTTCGACGACGAGTTTGAAGACGACGAGAGCCTGCCCACCATTGGCACCTGCAAGGCCTTGTACCCGTTTGAAGGTAACAGGAGAGGCCTCACAGCTGAAGAGACACTCTGCTCAATTGAAACATTCCAAAGCACATGTGCCCTTTATCTGTACAGACGCAGGGTGGTGGAGGAGGACAGTGGAAAGCCTTTTCAAAATCATATTTGGCCAATCGTCAAACACTTTGACTACAGCGCTGTAAAGAAAGGTGGAAAGAGCCCTGATCGATCGGAGGGATGATAAAAGCTGTTGTCCTCCCCTCAGAGATAAATGAATCTGTTCTCATTAAACAGGACATTCATTTATTACTATGAGGAAATAAAGACGTCATTATTATAAACTTCCATAACAAACGTTACATATCGGAAGAAGCAGGTCATTTGTGAACTTAAAACATTGTTCAATGTGCATCTTAGCAAATATGGTCTGTATGTAGAACAATTCAGACGCCTACATTGGGCTCTTAATGTGCAAAACGCAGATTTGCCATTTTAAGAACATGGCAGGTCTATTAGAGTCAGTGCAGGAAAGAGGTTTTTTCATGGGTTTTAAAGATAGCATCTACATGGGAGGATCTAAAGGACGTACATTATGTGTAGTGATACTTATCTTGTGGGTATCAGTCTATTGACTTTAGAAAAATATTTGTTCCTGTTTTCACAATATCATATCATATATTTTTTTTATTATAGAAGTATCTTTAAGTTATAAGACTGCCTGACTGATATTCTACTCATATATGTATCCAAAGTGCCGTGTATGTACAGGTGAGTCTACTCACTCTGTATGCTCATGCAGGTTTAGGAGAAGCATAATAAGTAAGAGAATACTATTCGCAATTTCCTACCACACATCATCTACTGTAGCCTTGCCTTCTCTATGTATTCAGGAAATCTGATTTAGATATGAAACTCGAGAAGTGATTTCAAAGCAGTGTGTAAGGTGGACATTTGTAATCTTTTCCTTCTCATTTCTCTTTTTGTTTCCCTTGCAGGTCACAATGAGGGCACCATCGCCGTGGCAGAGGGCGAGCTGTTATACGTTATAGAAGAGGACAAAGGGGACGGATGGACACGAGTGCGCAGGAACGAGGACGAGGAGGGATACGTCCCCACGTCCTACGTCGAGGTCTTTTTGGAAACAAATGCCAAAGGTGCTATGACATACATTTAACTCAGCAAGTGTGTTTTTGTTACTGTGAGTTTCCATTCACTGCTGAGATGAAAGGTTGTTACTGGTAGCTCAGATAAGAAACACACACTTCCTGTCCCTCTCGAAAGGAAGGACCAATCAGATGTGTCCATTGTGCCTCATGACAGTTGTGGCTGATAGTGTGTAGAAAGAGTGTGTGTCAATCTGAGCAAAACATTTGGTAATGTTTCAGAAATGACACAGAGCAGAGCAAGGGGGATGTTGTGTAAAGAAGCTTCTAGAGAAAGTTCCTCACCTCCCATTTACTGCAGTGCCACCTAGTGGTGATACAAAATAAAACCTGACTCCCAGTCAAAGCCAAGCATTATGGGAAGAATCACCCACTGACAGTGATCATGTGTACATTTAAAACACACAGTACTTGACTTTACAATATTTTTTTTGTTAAGATTTTAAATGAAAGTATTTCCTTAAATTATAATACTTTTTATCATGAGTCTGATTCGCAAAATCGAATATTTGAGCCAGTTTGGTAGTAAATCACTGAACTCTTAAATGAATGTACGCACCGTCTGAAGTGACATCACGTTAGTGTGTTTTGGTCACTCCTTGTAACCTAAAAGAAAAGCATGCTCCATGTGCAATCATACTGATGTAATTGTAATCTGCTGTAAAATATGGATACATATTAAAAGATATTTTTGTAAGCTAAACTGAAAAAAAGACAATAAAAATCAAATGTTGCATGCTGTAGATTAATCATAGTGCTGTTACCAGATGAACCTTGTGAATGTAATTATGCTTCCCTCGTAAGGGGTCGTTTTATATAACTATTGATCAGATTAGTAACCAATAGCCCCACTTTCCTTTTTAATCCACCTTTTTTATTTGATAGTGTTGGGCTGCTCTGGTCCTGTTCCCCAGGCCAGACTGAGATTTAGCTGTTCTGAGCTCTATGGTGAGCTGGGCTGAAGGAGCTGGTTGTGACTTTAAAGCTTTGTGGTTTCCTGCACGTACCTCTGTTAAATCGGGCGTTTACTGTAAAGCATGGTGTGTCATTCCACCTCACTGCTGCAAAAAGACATTCTGTGCTACTTTCCAAGATCGGCAATCATCTCTTTCATAAAGCGTTTGTTCAACTCCCTTTCAAACATTTCTACTGAGCTTCGATGGCACAGCATGGGGTTCTTATATGCAGATCTGGGGGAAGAATTCAAGTCTCTATAGTTTTGATCAAGGAGCATATGAAATGCGTGGCATGCTGCAGGATTTACGGGATTTTTGTCGTTGTCATGAGGTGATTTCAGCATGTTGTGACATAGTTCTAACATGCATTCAAGCCAAATTACATTGAAAGATGTAAAGACAGATCAAGATGCATCTTTGGGTAAATGCGGTCACCACAGTATTTTATGTCAGTTTAAAGTACTTTCATAAATGCAATGACTTCTTTACCCACCTCTCTAAGTCTGAATAGATGGGTTGCCTTGATTTGCCGTTAAAACCATCTAACTTATTTTTTGTCTTTTTTTTTTTTTTTGTTTGTTCGTATTTCTTTTTTTTTTTTTTATTGCAGATTCCTAAAAGTGTGAGGCTGGATGAGGAATGGCAGGGCAAGCAGTCTGGGAGAAACCACCATGTTCCTCGCGCGCTCACAGAGTCAGAGAGAGAAAGTGAAAGACGACCTCAATCTAAAAAGAGAGGGACGCCCGATTAGTACGCATCTCAATTTCCCAAAAACCTTTACGAAACAAACCCTGCTTCCTCTGCGAAGAGAAGCCACGATAAGAGAAGTCCATCTAAATTTTAGAGCTCATAACCCTTTCCACTGTTAACAGCCATGCAGCAGTCACAACCACAGTATTCAATCTGCCTTTTTCAGCTTGCTTTAATGTAACTAACTCGCTTGCACCACACGCGGTCATCAACGTGGCTGTTTGCTTCCTCACTCTGAACACCCCCCCCCCC